TGTGTGTGTGTGTGTGTTGTTGTGCAATATTCTCCCACAACTTCTATCATCTCCTTTTTAAAAGCTGCCGATGTGGCAGTAAGCCTCCAGGCTGGAGAAGAGGATGTAGAGGAACCACAGGCCGAGGAACAGCAGCGTGGTCAGGAGGCGGGGGACCTTCGGGCCACCGAGCTCTCCGCCGATGGAGGGCCGGCGTCTGAACAGGAGCACGGCCATGCTGATGAAAGCGAAGATGGTGAAGAGGGTGACGGAGAAAGCCAGCGACCCCGGCTCCACCCTGAACTCCTTCCCTTGGACTTTCCAATAGATGGCAGCCACTGACCAGGCCACGCCGATCCCTAGGAACACGTTAACGGCGTTGCTACCGGTGACATTTCCAACGGATGCGTCGGCGTGTTGGTCGTGCATGGCGGCCACTTTGCTAGCAAAGGTGTCTGGGATGAGAGAAAGACGTGGAAATCACTCAACACACACACGTGCAGATGACATTTGCATATTCTGAATTCCTACATTTATGTCCCTCCTGAAACAGTTTGATGAGGTGAGTTAAAGTTACCTGGTTTAAATCACGTGGTCTGCACAGCTACTAAAATCACTTCCTGTGCAGATGTGCACTCACCTGGAATAGAAGTCCCCAATGCCACAAACACCACGGCGGTCACAGTGTCCCGCAGCCCCACGGTGCAGCCGAAGTGCGACGCCAAATCTCCGATGACGGCGGTGAGGAGGCCGATGGAACTGATGGAGACCAAGAAACAGGCCCAGCCGTTCCAGTACTCTGTGGGCGGGACGCAGGCAAACAGCACCTTCCAGAAGACGGTGAGGAAATGCATGACGTAGTCGCAACATGACGGAAGACGCTCCTCATCTTCATCACCATCACCTGAGGGGGAAGAAACAGAAGTTCAAGTTGTTTCAAGCAGTGCAATAGTTAAATTAAAATAAAGGTAGAAAGAGCTTAGTATAAAAAAAGTCAAATACAATATAAAACTAAAAGTATATACATTCAAAGGTTGAAATGAAGTGACAAGTGTGTGTGAATCGTTATGTGTATGTTATAATTAAGTACAAACAGCATCTGAGGTCACAGAATATTCAGATCAAATATTCAGACTTTAAATTCCTGCACATTTGACACAAGTAAATAATCCCTGTCTGCAGTGAACTGTCACTTCCACTAGGTGGCGTCCTCGATTTACGAAACACCTCAGGATGAGTTTCAGTGTTTGTTCAGTTTTTCATGTCCCTTCATATTCTGCTGAAATTAAAACCCAAAGTTCTTTATTCAAGCAACAGTTGAATCAGGAGACTGTGACGGACCCACTGAGCAACGCACGGAATTCCAAAACTGCTCATCTGGCCGTTTACCAAGAACCGTGGTGAGGTCTGTGGTGTATTTGCTGGAGGGACATCCTCCTCCTCCTCCACGTCTCAGGAGCAGCAGCACAATCTGACATTTATCTGAACTAACCCCATGTTTTATTTCACCCCCTTAAAACTAATACTGAGTCTTTTAATTGGAAGAGGCGGATTTTCTGTCTCAACTTCCACAAGATCAAAAACACTGGGTTCGATACTCGTCTAGACATCAGGTGGGCGGATAACAACCTCTGTATAAATCAGCAGAACCGATACATGACAACAACAACAATACACAAAGTTAATCACATGTCAAGCAGTGATAAGAGTTTAATAAATTCCTGTGGAGCTGCATTTAAATTGAAAAGAACAATCAGAGGCAGGCAGAGGAATGAACATCACCTGCTTCTGTGAAAATGTATTAAAACTCAACTGTTGGTGAATCTAAAGGTCCGACTCCAACATGTCAGCCTGATTTATATTAATCTGATTAATGAATTGATTCACTCTGAAAGATTCAGATGCTTGAATTCGTCTTGATGATGATCCATGAAGCCGTGTACATGAAGTATGGAACATGTATTTGTACACACTGACCTGCGCTGACAGTCACCGCCTCCACAAACTGTTCCCTCCACGAGTGTGTGCCGATCACCAGCGCCAGGTTGGTCTTCTTGATGAGCTTGTCAACTGTGCTCTGGAGATCAGAAGCAAAACACACGTCATTAATAAGCAGCCGAACAGATCTACATGAAACCTGGTGGAAGAACGGACAGAGAAAGAAGCAACACAATTTAAACACTTTCTTTAACGTGTTGAAACAACGTTAAACAAGAATCATTCATGGATCTTAATGAAAGAAAAGTGTGTGAACTTTGGTGCAGCTTGATGTCGGGCCTTGGTGGAGGAATGAGCTTCACAATCATTTAATTAATTTCCTGGTGCCCACAGCAAACACAGCCTCACACATTGATCTCAATCTAAATGCCAATCATGCTGAATTGCATTATTCTCCCAAATTGATTCTCACTAAACACAAATCATAAGAGACGAGACCAATTACATTTCAACACAGGGTTGGGTTCACTTAATAATCACCCGGAGGATGAGGAGACTCAATTCTGGTGTTTGCAGTTATGAGAAGAGCAACGGCTCTGCTTAGTGCTCGTTCTTTATTCTCTCGGCCGCTCGGTGATTTACTCTGGAACGCTGCTGCTTTCTTATTGGCTGAAAGTGAAGTGGATGTTTGATTTGTCTGCTTCCTCTGTCAAGATGAACTTTTATATTTCTGAATGGTTAGCGTCAGGAGGGCTCAGAACCAAACGCTGCTCACACCTTTACTTTAATTAACGTTTACACACAGACCCGGAGGTGTGAAACACTTTGCTCAGCACTTCACAAACACACACTAAAGGGAGCTGGAACATTTGTTCAATGAAATCTCTATTGTTTCAATTTCCTTATGAGTAATTTAAAAATATGAATTTGTTATTTTCTGTGTTGGATCTTTTGTGAATGGAGACTTTTGCTCTGACAGTGAGTTTATCTGGTTTCACTGCTGGCAGGGTCAGTGGGGACTGGCTTTGAGGTTGTGCCTGCTTGAACTTAAAATACACTTCAGCCCACACTTTAAATATCTGGGTTCTGCTCCTGGTCCATTTCCTCACTGTCAGCTGCAGCAGCGCTCTGTGCATGTCAGAGAGTCACAATCCTGCACGCCTGGAGCGAGCGGCTGCATCGAGGGCAACTCGTACACTTTCAATAATTCAGAGCCACATTAGGTTTGCTTGCTGAAAGGGCTCAGCCGTGTGACAGAGAGTGTAAAGGTGGTTCACAGTGAAGCAGAGTTCAATTCTTTTTATTCAACCCAAACACAGAAATGACTCCAGGAGAGAAATAATCTGATATTACGCTGATAGGTCAGGAAATAAATACAGTAAATATACAAAATGTTATTTTGGCTATAAATATTGAATATATTTCTTACTTGCTGCTTATACATGTGATATTTATCTATAACTCTCTATGTTGAAGACTTACACAATGAAAAAACAGAAACCACTGCTGAACATGAGTCGCTGCTCTCCGAGAGGAGATCAGGCCAGATATGAATGAATGAATGAATGAATGAATGTTGCACCTTGAACTCGTACGACTCCTCGATGACCACCTCCAAGCGACTGTGCTCTCCCAGGATGGGCTTCCCCATCTCAGCTATCCTGCGAGCCTCCTCCTCCTCAGAACTCATCTGCCCCTCCACACCCTCTGTGGGAAGAAAGAAGGGAGGGAGGGAAAGAGGGAGAGCGGATGTGATGTGAAGAAGTGAGTATGTTTCATGCATTCTGCATCATTTCATGTTGGATTTGGATTTGGAGCCAGAGTCTGTGCGGTAGCGACCGGGGGATGGAGCTGCAGTATCGAGCTCCTGCTGAAGCTCGTCAGTGACGATATTAATCATCAAATAACCATGAAACCAAACTGATCAGAAACATGAACACTTACACACTCGTCACAGTGAAATAAGAATTAAAATAAAATCATGAAAAACATCTTTGACTTTTTAGCTGGGTCCCTGTCCCATCTGCTAACATGGAGGAGACAGAAAGCTGCAACCGTGCCCCATTAAAACATCCAAACAGGTTTTTACTGTATGCAGCAGGATTCAGTATAAACTCTATAGATCACACTCTCAACGTGCACGTTCACGTTCTGTGTGCACCATGCTGGAGTGCAGGGTAATAAATCCTGCTGATTAGAAAATGCAAAGCAGAGAATCTTGATTGTTTTCGGTTGATCAATGACTTTGTGATGAATGATTTTCCCACAGTGCCTCGAGCAATCAAATGGAAAACCACGTTCCAGCTTCTTCTAACATCTGTAAAGAGCTCAGGTGTAATCAGCTGCTGTGGATGACGTGAAGACACGTGTGACTCCGACAGACTCTTCACAAAGGAAGCCTCGATAATATTGATCCACTTTCTTCTTCGTCTGCTTTCATACAGTATGAGAGAGAGAGAGAGAGAGAGAGGGAGGTACCGTACAGTTAGACGAGGTGAATGCTGACATGTGGCCCAGTTTGTGTTATTGATCCACTGCCAACAGAACAGCAGCAGCTACACCAACCGGAGTTGATCTTACAGAAATGACTGAGGAACTGAGCCAATCAGGGATTATGTTACAGCCTGAAGTCCCGTCTGTTTATCAGAGAGAGGGTGTCACACTGTGGTGGTGCACGAGGAGCTTCCAGCCTCTTAAACCAGGCTCACTGTGTGTTCAAGTCTGATGTAAGTGGCATTTTAACAATTGTCGCTTTTGCTCAAGAGAAAGAGAAAAGGAAAATAAAGCGTTGTGTGTGTGTGTGTGTGTGTGTGTGTGCAGCCTTCCTCCCCCTCTTCAAATGCAGCACATATCTAATTATGAAAAGACGAAGAGAAAAGCAGCACATTGCAAACCTTCCCTGCAGGGCTCATTTACATTATTTCAAACAAGCACACACACTCAGGCACGTGAGCACACGCTCGAATACGGTTTGACTCTAGTTTGTGGTCGTTCTTCCGAGCGGCGACTTCTTCCAGCCGTCTCCAGAGAGCGGCCTCTCCTCCGCCATGACAGGCGAGTGAGGTGAGCGAGAAAACAGCCTCGAGGACAACGAGCGTCACGATGTGTCACCGCGGCTGCAGGGTTCTCCGCTCTCACCGCATCCTGCTCCTAATCGTCAGTCATTTCAGATTAAAGCCGTGTGGTTGTTTTCACTCTGGTGGCTCCAAGTGTTTTTGATTTTTGGATGTGTAGTCGGTGACCTGTGTGAATAAATAAATCTGCTTTTTTGCTGGATTATCTCTAAAACTTGTTTCCCCAGGATCCTGCGCTCGGCTGCTGCTGCTGCTGCTCTGTAGAGAAATGTTTCTTTTCCATTTGTGTGATTTGATTTGTCACAAGCTCAGAGGACTTCCTGTCCAGATCTAATCTGAGCAGGATTCAGTGGGTGGCCAGGGAGCAGCTTCTCTGCTGCATTTTTACATTGAATAGATGGTTTTTAATCAAAATAATATTAAAAACCTGATCAAGTATGATAAAGAACAGCAGCAGCTATCTGCATTAGCTCACACTAAGCAGACCCAGTGTGGAGACATTATGAAACGTATTGTTCAGGGCTGTGAGACGCACAGAGGCCAGTTCTGCTGTGATCCAGATATTGACAGAGACCCGTCTCTCCACTGAGCTGGACTCAAGCAGAGGCCAGAAATGTGAGCCAGGCTTTTACAAAGTGGGACAGATGAACAATGTCCTGGCGGAGCAGGAGAGCTGAGCGGCTGCGGGACAAAGAAACTGAGACATCTGTTCACACTTACTGCAAAATGTTGTTGCTTCATCTGAAAATCAGATTTAAAGTTGTTGCGACTGAGCGTCTGTTCATGGTGGACCTGGGTGAGACGGAACACTTTATGCTGCTTTAATTTCATGTCTGTCCTGTGAGTCCACTTCCTGTCATTATCGTTAACGTCTGAGATTGTGATGGCGACCCTGAGAGGAGCCCGTCACATCCTGCAGATCCCCCCTGTCACACTTCATTTTAATCACTGTGCTCCCACAAGTTTAATGTTAAATCCATGGGCACAGTGTGCGATGGCCGAGAGCTCGACTCACTGCAAATTAAGAAAACAACTTTATCCATTTGAAAACACACGCACTGCAAAAAGTCGCAACACGTGCAAATACAGAAAACTATTTGCAGCACGTCTCTGTATTTGTATATGTTGTGACTTGTCGTCAAATTGATGGAAATTCTTTCTTAATATGTTTGTGTTGGGCTCTGCCACAGTAACATTGTGATTATGAGCAAATGGTTGGATTTATTTTATAACACAGTGGATCTTGTTCCATTTGTCTCTCATTAATACACACACACACACACACACACACACACACTACTGCACAGACTGGCTCCAAATTCACAACATGGAAGTGTATCTGAGATATTTTGGCTTAATTTCTGGACAGTGGGAGGATCGAACCTTTAATTGATATATTAAGCGATGATAAGAATAATAAGATGATTACTCTACTCAGACTCTCTGATGGGGATCTTTGAGAAGACGGATCAATCAGACGTTCTTACCTTGGTTGAGCAGAAGAGCTGAAGAGAAAAGAGGGAGGACAAGAAGTGAGAAAAGACACAATCAATACATTTAAAGTTTTCCAGTTACTGCACACTAACAAATAGAGCGTAGAACCTGCAACAATACCAACACGTACATATATACGGAGAGAGAGAGAGTGGGAGTGACACGCAGTAAATGGCGCCCCCTGGGAGCTGCTGTTTAAGGTGTATATGCCTATGAGGCCATTCAGCATCTGGTCTAATTCCTCCATCTCACAAGCACTGAGGTAATAACAGAGCGGCAGCGGCTTCTTCAGTTCAAACAAACAATCCTCTCTCGCTCTCTTCACTGCTCCACATCCTCTCATCACACAGTCTGTGTGTTGCTGTGGTGACAGGTTGTAGATGAATGGATGGGTCCCTGGACAGGTGTGCACAGTGTGTGTGTGTGTGTGTGTGTGTG